TAAAATAGAAATTGATAGTACAATTAAGTCCTTAGCAAGTTTAATTTGATAAACATAAACCAAATATATGATCCAAGAAAAAATACCAATAAAAAGAAATGAACAAGAGAAAATCCATGCCGTCCAATTATGTGTCTTTGCCAGTCGTCTCGCAAGTGCATGTACGCAGTATGCAACATCAACCCGAGGCCGCATAGCCGATGTGGCAACCATAATTTCTGCAAGAAGCATCCCGATACTAATAATATAATTACCAATCCACTCATTTTTCAACAAATTCTTAAACTCAAACAGGCTAAATTTCTTTTAACACGAACGCTTCCTCTATTTTCCGCATATTAGAATTTCCCTTTCTGAAAATGAAATTTCGAGTAAATCCCAAATTACCAATACCAAGAGTTCACATTGGAAACATCAAAACATTTCACAAGCTACTAAAACATAAACCCCTCTATCCTGGGAATCAATGAACCGAATTCCGAAATAATTCGTTTACTTCGGGAAAATCATGAAAACACATTAAAACTGGAAAAAAGTGCACAGCCAGATAATTCAACGGATCTAACAAACAGAAGGGGAAAAAGTAAAAGGAAAAACTCACTCCTGAGGTGTCTATCTTTGGGCGGACACTCCACATGATTTGTAGCCTTCACGATCGCCACATCCACATCCTATTTTTAGAAATCCACAAAAATCAAAAATTCCAAAAAAAAAAAAAAAAAAAAAAAAAAAAAAATTGAATGAAATAATCCGAAAAAATCTACGAATTAACCATCCAATATATTAAAAATAAGTAAAATTTATTCGATTAACACTCTATTCCTTAATAGTCAAACATAACCCACCACTAATTTCATTTGATTTCTACATTAAAACCCTCGCGGAAAAAAAAACCCTCAAGCAGAAAACTTGATTGATGAGTGTAGAGAGAGAGAGAGAGGAGAGAGAGAATAGATGAGAAGACCTTGAAATCGGAATTGACATGGGCAAGGCCGACTTTAGTCTGGTCTTTAAGAGCGCCGTACGCTTTTCTCCATGACTGAAGTGTCCCCATTTTCCGTTCAGATCGCCCTCGGTTTTTTCCTCTTCTGTACTTTAACTCCGTTCGGGGTATGTAATTACTATGCCTTTTTCTCTCTCTTCCTGCTGCTGTTATGCTGTTACTATAGAGAGAGAAAGGGGAATGGGTTGTTGTTGAATGACAGAATAGAAAATGAGAGAATTCGCTGTGTTTGTATTTTTCTCTTCTTTTTCTTAATTATTAATTATTAATTAATTGTGAAATGAAAAAGAAGGGGTTGTTGTTTTGATGCCCTCAGCCCTCTGGTTCGGTGGTGGCTTTTTGGCGGCCCCTCGTGATGATGTGATGACGTGTCTTTTTTCATCTTTTTAGACTAAAGTTATTTTTTTTCATTATTATTATTAGGGTAAATTACAAACACCCCCTGAGGTATGGTTAAATTACAAAATCACCCCTCTTGTTTGGATAATTACAACCACCCCTCAACTCCTCAAATTTAGTGGAATCTTCGAGATTATATGGAATATTATCACTTTTGTACCCGTTTTATCCCATTCAAACTCTACATTATGAAGCAGGATGATCATAATATTTGATTTTTAGCTTGTATATATCAGTTTGTGGTGCATCGGAAACTGTATTTTTACACAAAACGAGTACCAACTAGAGCACATTTTACGGAATCTAGATGATTATGTTAAATTTGGCACCATAAAAGTGGAGGTGTAAGTAAAAATCATAGTTGAGGGGGTAGATGTAATTATCCAAACAAGAGGGGGATTTTTGTAATTTGACCATACCTCAGGGGGTGTTTGTAATTTACCCTTATTATATTATTATTATTATTATTATTATTATTAGAAAGAAATGTGATTTATTTTCATATTTGTTATGATTAGGGATGGTAATTTGTCCCCTCCCGTCCCAAAATGCTTGCGTATTATCTGTTCGGAAAAAATATGTGACCAGGATGGAGATTGACAAAAAAAATGACCGGGTATGGGATGGGAACGGGTTTATAAGAGATAAAAATAAATGTATAGCTGAGGATTCGCCCGGTATATATTATTTTTATATATTTATAATGTTAAAATGTGATTCATATTAATTTTTAATCTATGGAATTTTGTATGAGATTTGAAATCGAATTTGCACTTTGTTGATTTTTTTTTTAAATAAGTCTTTAAATTATAATTTAACTTATAAGTAGATTGCATTATATTAAATATAATAATAAATAAATAATTAGAAATTTTGCAGGGTGGTGGATACCCATGGAAATTTTACGGAGCGAGTTCGAGGATCTGAATTCATAAAATTCAAGAATTTTGACAGTAGTGCCGACGGGCAATTCTAGAATGGGGTATGATGGGGATCAGTTTGGCAAGCTTGGACCAAACTCCTCATATTGGGCTTATTAAATAGTATAAGAATAAAATGTAAGGCAAAATACAGTTTACACTCCTGAACTATAAGGGTTGTACCAGTTTGGCCCCCTGAACTACAAAACGTCCCAAATACCCCCCTCGAGTTTATGGTCAACCATTAAATTATTAACACCTTTAATTTAAATGTGCAATTACTCATCTGCCCTTAGGGGTTTGTTGTAAGAAACTTAATAATTATATAATTAATATGTCTCGCATTTGTCGATTTTGTTATGAATTTGTGATTGAAGTGAATTTATAGTTTACATGATTTTCTTAGTTGTGTGTAATTTTTGGATTCAATATGTTTGCTAATTGTCTTTTTGTTCAATTTTGTGCATTTTTTGTTCAAGCCCTCAATTAAATGCATAACTTTTGGGGTGATTTCCGTGCATTATAAGATGTATTATACCACGAAGTACAAGAATTTTGTGTATTTGAGCTGTTACTCGACATTTTAATAAATTTTAGAAGTAAAAAAGGTGGCCTTTTAGTGATTAAATTAGTGAAAAAAGTTTTAATACACACACGATATATATATATATATATATATATATATATATATATATATATATATATATATATATATATATATATATATATATATATATATATAGAGA